TCCTGCTGACAAAAGGGGAAAAAGATTGGAGTTGAATGTTATGGTGAATCAAATTAAAAAAATAAGCAGAAAGGATAAATAATTTTGTTTTAGGAGCAGGATGTCAGTCGATATGGTGTGAAGGAGAGGAATAGAGCGGCTGATTCTGCTAACAGAAGGGAGAGTGTGTGGTCGACACTTCTTTACAGAAGGGAGAAAAACAGAGCGACACACTGTACAGTACCAGAGTGAAGGAAGGTGAACACAGGAGGTGGATTATAAATGACACCAGAAAGACATGGCATTTTTAACACCACAGGAGAATGTAGCAGAGCAGCAAGGGTGGCAGAGTGTAGGACAAGTGTGGACCTAAAGAGGAGGAAGTGAGTTAAGGTACAGGCAACTTTAACACTGACACCTGGGATAGCCAGGACTTAGTGGAGGCCTGGAAAAGCACAGAAACAGCAAAGATGGAAATTAGCGAGAAGTCGTCTTATGTGTGTTCGGGTCAAAGGCAATAAAACTGGGATAGTGCCGGAAGGAAACGTGGGATAGTCAGCAAGTAGGCATAGGAGTTTTGTGTGTAGAGACGCTTGACAAAGGGAGGACAAAAATGGTCCAGATGACATACCTATGGAGGTATGGAGATGTCCAGGAGAGATGACACTGGACCTTTAATCCTGAGAAGTGAGAGGATGTCTGATTGATGAATAGGTATACGGAAACTCCCTTAGCCACTCCAAGAAGGGATGGGAAAGGGTTAAAGCAAGGCTAAGATGCAGGGATTCAGATCCAGGAGCGGCAGTTTGATACTGAAGCAACTATTGCTTTCATAGTGGTGGGAGAGGAATATTAAGATCAGGGGATGAAGACAGGACGAATAGAGAGGAAGTGTGCTACTGTATGAAGAAGTCAGGAGTGGCCAGTGAGGGTACTGCAGGACGTGAAAGGATGATGAGACAATGGGGTAGGGTCCTGGCTACATTGGGGGATGGCACTGAGTAGTGGTACAGTGCTGTAACCACTCCTGTGCCTGCTCTTGTCAGCAGTAAGTAAATAGTGCATATACCGCAGGAATTCTTTCAACTAAATCTCTACTATTTGTAAGAAAACAAAGACAAGTCAGACAACCAGCCTAATGAAAGATGGTGGAAGGAGTGTGTTGGTGTGTGTCTGTGTTCATGTCAGTGGCCAGGTGGCAGATTATTTACCACTTGTCCGTCCCTAAGCTGGTTCTTCTCTTTCTCCTCTGCCAACTGATCCGTTTTTGACAGCAACCTGACACACACATGCACGGGTACACACAGGTTATAGGACTTCATTTATATTCTTCATCATAGCCACATTCAGATCATACATACATACATATATATATATGTATATATATATATATGTTTCAGCATTTTTAGATATAGTATGTATACAGGGGACTTCACCAGGAACTGTTGTTATAACAAAAAGGCGACAGCTCTTCGTTAGCTCTTAGTCTTTGAGCTCTATTTTGCAGTAACACACAAACACACGACTTCACACACAGGTGGGCATACATGTCAATTTGCTCTTCTTTCTCATGGGCGTTGGAGTCCCCCAGATGGAAACAAGGTGTTGGAGATGTTGGGGACAAATTAGCTCCTTCCATTAGCCACTGGTCCCTTAAAGATTTTCTCTGGCAAAGTGAAGCGGGAACAGAAGATGACATGGGAAAAACAAGAAGAAAAGAGAGTCAGATTGATTTTGGAAATCTATATATGTGTGTGTGTGTGTGTGTGTGTGGACTTGCTTCTAAAATGCAATCTGCCAACTTTTGACTTTTAATTAGTCTGCAATGAAGGGCAGAAACAAACAACAACATCTGTGTTGTTTTTATGTCTGACATGCTGTTGGAGTTCAGCCACACCTTCAGCTGCTGCAGTCTGATCTTCTCGTCCTCCATCTCTCTCCTGACTCTGTCTTCCTCATTCTGCTGTCTAAGCTTTTCCTGGAAGGAGAAGTGAAGATGGAAAGAAATTACAACTGCGCAGTCAGACAGAGTAAAAATGGTTCACCTTTAGTCTCATGGAAACAGGCTAGAGAAAAGAAAGAGCAGAACAAGTGCTGGATAAATAAAACAAGTCGGCTCTGAAGGATAAAAAAAAGAAACCAGCAGCAGTGAACGAGACATCTAGGAAGAAACATGGGCCTATAATCTATATCCCATAACACTAATATCACACCTCCCCACAGTGACCTGGAATTCTAAAATGGGACCAGCAGCTCAGCGGCTCACCACACTGCAGAGTCTATAAATTATTGAGGTGAAACAGAGAGCTGAGACAGCAGAGCTAACAGGCTTCACCTGCACCGTCTCTTCACAGTGATGCAGATGTTACTAGACATGTGTCTGCAGCTGTACATGAATATATTATTAAGAGCATTCACACAAATAAGGAACCATCTTTGTAAGTCAATGTCTCCCCATTATAGGGGAGGAGTGTAAACTGTTATTTCTACTGACACACAGATCCATTTTTTTTAAATTGGCACCTTTAGGAACGTCAACTTATCCTGATCAATCAGACACCCTTTTGATGGATTTATCCTGATCAATCAGACACCCTTTTGTAATCGTTTGACATCATTTATAATAAAAATACTTCTCATTAAAATCATCAATAAATGTGGGTTAGTTCATTTCTGTAGCTGTGATCACGAGCCTGAACCATTCTTTATACATAAACATGTATGCGTGTATGTGTGTTCACACAAGGACTCACAGCAATGGCCTCCTGTCGACGCTGGTACTTCTCTGTCTCATCCATCCCTGGACCTTGGACAAGATAAAAGAAAGAAAAAAGGCATGTCTTGATTACACTTTCATTTGTTGTCACTGTAGAATCAACAAAAGTCAAAATTCACAATTTCCAACCAGCCTTAAATGTGAAGATTTGATAGAGGGAAGCAGGAAGTCATCACACCGTGTGAATATGAATTTGAGGTTCAAGTCAACCGCTGATTATCATCTGCAGCCTGCGGCTTGGCTTACAAACCTCAGTTTAAAATTGATTTTAAGGTGAGGTTTCTACATAGTGCAGCTCAATTTCTGAGATTGGTATTTAGTATTTGATGCTGTAGAACACACAGTTCTCTCATCTGTTTCTGGCTTAAAACGATAAGACTTAAGACTTTCTCGGTTGCTCTCCACTCAACTGTTTCAGATCAAATTAAATGACATGAATGACTTTGAATATTTTATTTCACAGTTTTGTGTAACAAAGTCTTAAAATAAAAGAAGGTCTCTTTTATAATGACGTCTTAGTCTGAGCTGGCAGTGGGAGTTCTCCGCTAACATCTGGCCTTGTGCAAAGGCTGTATATTTGGCTTTAACATATATGTGACAAGTTTACTTAACATTGTATGTTTGCCTAGCAAGATGGATTGTGACATCAGCACTGAGGAGTTATACTGACAAACACAGACGCAGGCAACAGTACAGAACGTTAGGAAGTATCAATGTTCACTGCTGACTCTCTGATGGATCGCCAGTCAAGCAGCAGACTAAAGGGCCTGTAGATGGTTTTTAAAATAACCATACAAGACCATGGGTAACAAGGTTAATAGATCTTTTTTATTCACAGCAGTTGTGGTAATGTCCTGTCATTTTTCATTTAAAGCTAGATCAACCAAATCGTGGTGAGAGGAATTGTTTGAAACCACTGAGCAAGTCTTTTTTAAAATGAAGAATGCAGATTAACAATGTTACTTCAAACAATGTTCAAGGTAACCCTCCCTGTCTGGGTTACGACAGAGGTTCCCACCGTACAGGTGTTATTATTCATATTAGGGAGTTATTCTGTGAGGTAATTCAAAGGGGAATTGGACAAAATATGACCAGACCAGAATGTAAAAAGGCTGGAGCAGATGTTCCACATACCATGAGGCCGAGAGGCAGAAAGACTGACAGAGAAAATACTCCAAGGCCACTCATTTGTTAAGATATTTTTTTCATGTGTTTTGGTACAAGAAGAGCCCAGAAACCATTATCCATGTGATCACAGACGGAACGTACTATCACACTGACCTCGACCTCGAAGGTTATGCTGTTGTATCAAACAATCACAGACAAAAAACAGCAAACTTTAGCAAATTAGAGAATAACTCACAGAGATTTGAATGGCAGGAAATAAATGATTAAAAACAACTTTGCCCCTGCAGGCCATGGAAAGAAATACAGTGTAAATACATTTTTTTTTTATATAGCAACTATTGATGTTTAGTTGCCATAGATTTGGTATTAACTAGTGTTAACTAGTATTTGATGTAAATACTCGTCAGATACATTAGGCATCATGTTTAAATGTTTTAAATGAAGATTGTAACAGAGGTAACCTGACACGTCCTGATGGACAGTATGACTCTGAGTACAGTAAACAGATACAGCAGATGTTTCAGTCACCAGTAAGACTTGTCAGGTGTACTATTTGATTACCTACTCTGTGTGTTTTCACCTGACGTGAATTACAAGTGCATGCACACACAGTAATTCAACTAACTACTAATTAATAAACAATGTTTTAGAAAACTAAATGTTTTATGCACTGATAGAATGTGATACAAGTCTTTTTTTTTTTTAATGAAACAGCTTTAAGTGTTTTTATGTGCAAAATAAGCCGGTGCAGCAGTTGACTGACTTTGGCTTTCCAACTACATGCTGTGATGTCACCTAACTGGAAAGCCTAAGCCTAACTGGATTTTTCTATTGAAACAAAACCTGCCATAAGGTGGAACGTAATTACTAAGAAACCTGACTCAGCACAGATAGATAGACGGGCGTGTAGAGCAAAGGAAATGATGAATCAGAAAAGTAACAGAAGTATGACACAAATGAAACCTGAATCTTAGAAAAAACCAGAGGCGTTTAACACATGAAACAATGTGGACTTGTAACGTCAAACACTTCTATTGAAAAGGCCGGACAAGATAGTAAACAGCGAAGAGGAGGAAGAAAAAAGAGTGGAAAAAGAAAAGGAAAACATAATACTGTACAAACATTCCAGATGCATCTGTAACAAAAGTGAGCTCAAAGGCACACTTTGAATTCCCACAGGAACCTGACATGAGTGCCAATATGATGAAGTCACCATCTCACATACATCATTGACAATAATTATAAGGTAAAACTATTTCCACACGTATGCTGCATCCAAGGGAACAGTCAACAGAAGAACAAAACAATGCATGTCAGAGATAAAATAAAGTAAAATGATGTTGCTAAAATAAAAAGGATTTTTATTTTGCCAATGCACTAAATTCAAAGACAGCTTGTAAACAGCATGGTCAGAGAGTTGGCTCTTTCCAAAAAATCAATAATTAAGAAATTCTGAAAAGAAAAAAGACTTTGGGTTTCACTAACTCACTTGATGGGGAAAATCGATGGAAGATTGGGCCACACTGTGGTTTAACGGTTATCATGTTGTTAGCACTTTTCCTCCTTGTTGTTATGAAAATATAAATTTCCCCAAGACAAAGTTTTAATAAATATAAACTCATGCATACTTGAGTTTTTATTGGCACTTCTGTGCTTTTTACTAACCCACCTTGCTATAAAGAAGTGAAGCAGCAGAAATGGTAATCAGACAACAGCATTACAAACAGCCCTGGCTATTTCCATGAAAATGTTTCTTTTAGTTTTTGGCTGTTTTTAAACATGTGTAAATATATATATATATATACATATATATGTGTATATATATATATATATATATATATATATATATATACGTATATAATGCTTACACGCATGCTTTACATGCTTAATATGTACACAGTTGTGTACAACATGTAAATACTTGCTTCAGTGATTTGTCTGTCAGTCTGTATGTCATTTTCTCACTTAGTGTCTCTCAAACAGGTTTGAAAGGAATGCAGGGCTTGTGTAATCTGGTCTCTGTTCACCATCACTATTGTCACCAAGTCAAAAGCCATGGGGCCTCACGGCTCACTCACATTTAGCTAAAACTGCATCATCTGAGTGAAGTCATATTAGAAACAGTACTTCCCTAAAATACGACAGGGGCTAGAATTTCCTTCCAACTGAGCCACACAAACGGTCATGTTGTCAACACAGTGTTTAGACCTGGGCCATTTAAAATGAATACCTCCCTGCCTTTGACACAGGTGGTTTGAAAACCAGAGGTAACCAATTGTTTTAACATTTAAAAAAAAAACAACTATTAAACGTTTGTTTTATTCCCTGTGAGCATTTTATTGACAGAAACAAACAAAACCAAAACGACCCCTTGTGATATCTTGTATATAGAGCTTTAAAGACTAATCCATTAGAAATGTAGATATATATTCAATAAACTTAAAAATGTTCAGCAACTGCAACGAATACAGACTATAGAATGAAGACAAAATCGGTTTCTTGTTATGAAAATTTTAACAGTTAATACAAATATTTAATACTTAGCATTTGTTCCTCAATATTTGGTCTTGATAGACATTTTAAAGGCCTAGTTTTACTGTGACCCTTTACCCTGGGATTATAGTAACTTGGAAACATCATCGATGTGTCTGTAAGAGTTTCAGAAACCTGATACTGAGGAATGTCATCCTTTCTGTGGAAGCTTAATGTGTTTAACCAAAAATGTAAACACATTAAGAGAAGCCCAGAGATTTTCTCTGGACCTGCTGGATATGAATGTGGTCAGTTGTCTAGTACTGACCACCTGACACAAGAATCACTGATACAAATATATGTATTAAACAAGAACAAAAGGTCACAAGGTAAAATATGTAAACTGTCATGTATTTGTTGTTTTTGAAGACCATGTTTTTTCATTAGGACTCATCATCAACATATCTACAGCTACACTACTGTTATAGTATTGTTATATAGTATGTTTTTGTGGCATTCTGTGTCATGGCTGTTTTCTGCAGCAACACATGCAAAACCGAGGTGGTAAAACCGATAGCCATAGTCAAACATCTACCCAACGTTGTACTTTACCGCAGCTCTGCAAGTGCTCTGAAAATACTCACACTGTGTACTCATAACCCAAAAAGCATAACTCATGACCTAACTGTCTAATCCTTGTGTGTCTAACAAAACCATTGTGCATGTAAAAGAAAGGGTATGTGCACATAACAAAGACACTAAATGTTTTTTTTTTTTACACCCCTGCTTTTGTGAGCAGTCAGCCGGGGTTTTTGTGGCTTTGTGTCCACAGATCAGGGCCCAAACTGCAAACAGAGAGTGGGCAGCTGCAACACAATTGAGCCATGAGCTAGCAATAAAACTGAAGCTGACTTAAACGGTTCCTAATTTTTATAGAAATGACTGATGCCAAAATTACTACTGGAAATACAGTTTCTCTATTTGCAGAAACAACCAAGCACACTACAGCACTAACCCACGACACATTTAGACCATGAGCAGATTCCAAATATATCTAGAAAATATAGCACAGCAACCAACACATCTGAAATTTAGGATGGTATATGATTTTTGACCAGGTTTATTATTTTTCTGCCTGCTTCACTGTCAGAATAAAATTTTGATTTGAACAAAAAAAAAAAAAAAACACACCGTGCATTGGGCATTGTGTGATTATGCAGTGTGTGCGAAGAGAACAACGGACGAGTGGCAACAAGTTATAGTCGTACGCACTTTTACACAGAAACATGGTGTGAAAACAAATTACATAAAAAAGCATACATTTAAGACTAAACTTTATGGTAACTGTTAAAAATATAAAAATGTTCCATAACTCATAATTTGATGTCTGACTTTGTTTTCTAATAAACAAACAAAACAAAAAAAAAAATCATAAATATGGGCTTTGAAGTAGATGTGTGTGTTGTGAGAGGGAGAGCCTCAGGCTGTAAAGACGTGTTCAAAGCATTTCCTTGTTCTCTAGGATATTTTTGACAGAGGTGTGTACTGTAACAAAGCCTGTTTGGGCCAACAGGCCCTGATGTCCTCTGTGTGACAGAAGAGAAACGTCAGTTGTTCATGCTGTGATCACCATTTTTAAATGAGTACAACGAGCTGCACGCTGAGAAGCAGCTTGTTCAATTGCATTTTAGACTCTGTCTCCCTTTTTCTAGACCAAGCTAAGGTTAAATCACACGCAGCAGTGCTGTGTATGTTCAGTCATTTCCACTCAATTCCACTTGGTTCTTCAGCAGTGCTGGTTATAGATAAGTGATGATAATTTTAATGATGTGTTTAAAAACTTTGCATTTTGTACAACCCTTTTTTTAAATGATGCATAATAGGCAGAATTTGCAATTATTATTATTATAAATTATAATTGAAAAATATTAATTGTAGATACAGTGGTTTTAAGGGAACTAGTGTTTACAGAACTATTCACTTTCTCTTTTTTCTAGCGTTTACTGAATTCATCTAAGAGAAAACATTGGTATTTCCTATAGTTTGGTCTGTGTGAAGCCAAAAATGCACAGAGTCACAGTGCAGCAGCTGGTAAGCCCTCCAGTCTATACCCCACAGCATTTCCGTTTAAAGGTACAGAAACATTCAGAACAGTGCTGCAAAACAGGTGTTTAAAGAATCCGGCTGACATTTCATTTAGACATCAAGGAACCATATTTATTTTCATAAAAGTTATGGTAAAATGTCTCATTTAAGTCAGCGCTCCCCAGCTTGGCTTTTTATTCCACTACTGAACAGTAAGGTTATTTTGCTGCAGTTATTCCATTATAATCACATGGGTCCTCAATCGTTGGATGGACCTAGAGTACACTGTTCTGTACTTTGTTAGTTTTGAACTCGTCAAACTCCTGAACATCTTCTGATTTTGAACCTGAAGTAAGTGTGACGTGGGTATCATTAGGCAGACTGAAGCATCCACAGCCCCACAACACTAACAAGCCTTTCATATCAAAACTGATTACAGCCACAGTACCTTTCATCAGTGGGAAAGATTGAGATGATTATTGGTGGTTGGCCAAGAGGGGGGGCGGGGTGCTGGGATGCTACACTCCCTAGTCTGAAGTGTTCATTTTATGCCAAAATGTTCCCAAATAAATTTGATGATTAATCATTTATATCAGTTTTACATATGTATGTGGCTGAAGTTCAAACCGAGCGTGAAAGTTATTAAAACACGGTATTTTAAAACCTCTCCAGTAGCCTCTCTCCTGGGGCATTGGAATATTGCCCCTCTGGAATGCAGTTGCTCTGCCGTTCAGTGACTGTTGCTAAGCAGGGAAACAAGGACCAACAGGTCATGTAGCCAATTAACATTTTTAAATTTGTCCTTTTCACACAAGATTTACCCTAAACCTCTTCAATGAAATGCTGAGATGGTTAGCCAGCAAAGTCTCATCATGCTAGCCCTGTTCAAATCAGGAACCTAAGTGACAAAACTAAAAGTAACTGAATTCAATGTTTATTTTAATTGTTACACTTCTGTTTTATTAGAACAAAGCAACACGTTTTTTAAATTTAAAGACACAAATGTGAGTGTGTACAAGCCAGGAGACACAAATGTGAAGAAATTACCTGTAAACGTATGTTTATATTCTGTTTGTCTGTATCATTTTGAAGCAGTTCGAATATTAAACAGCACCTTGCTCACTGTAAGGCTGTTGCATGTATTAAAAATGTAAATACATTTTGACATTAATTTGATTCTATAAACTTTTTCAGCGCTGAATTGTTCTGATCTTGAACATCAGTGATCTGTGACCACAGAGCTTTATAACGTAAGTTCTCGTAAAGGCACGTAAGATACGTAAAGTACCTTCAGCCAGTCAAAATATCAGCCCTTCACTGCATAATTAATGTTGTGAATGAGAGTGTTGTTCAACAACAAACACGAACAAAAATATATGTTTTCACGCCACGGTGCCCTTACCTGTTTAAGCTTGGCCTTGTCCACGACTCAAATAAGAAACGATGCGAAGAAGTTGAGTTTAAGTCCTTGAACACGCACACTTATAAGGGAAAAAAGAAAAAGAAATGCCGGGCTTCTACCAAAAAAACAAGAGTCAAACTTGTCCTGTAGCGGCTCAACACCTGAGTGACTCTCCTCATAACAGCACCAACGGCCACGTCCTCCACTTCCACGCTCCCCTCCTTCACTTTAAAATGTCCCACAGACGGAAATAAAAACGAGAACGACAGAGAGTCGCGGCTTTAGTAATAAACTTGTAAAATAACAGTAACACACGTTTGTTCAAGTACTTCCCTGCCTCATTGGAACCGCCGCTACGGCTAAAAGCGGCGCTTCCGTCCGGTGCTGGAGGTTACCTGATCCCAGACAGTAGCAGAAGGCCAGCCCACCGTGCAGCGGCAGCAGCCGGGTGTTTCTGGTGCCTTCGCTCGACCTGACGACCACAATAACCTGTTATATGTTTAAACTCTGCTACACATTATGTTCACAGTATCTAATTACTTATATATGCTCCTCAGTCATATGTTTACATTTTCTGATAGTAAAGTCTTTGGTGTCAGGATTTAATCTTGAATTAACCAAATTAAATTTAAGAGGTCCATAACTGTAGATTCAATTAGTAGTAGGTCACCCAAAATCTATACAATACATTATTTACTTAATTGGTTGAGTATTTAGTACTATCATTTGTTGCCAGACGAACGATAATTATTGTATTTGAACGACCAATAATAATAATAAAAAACCCACAGAACAGTACAGAATACAATACAATAAAATAATTGTTGTCATTCAAGCGTCGAAAATTGCTCCCAGGTCACCAGACCAAACAACACAAAACAGCTCCAGTTAAAGTTAAAACACAACAGTGCGTTGGATTAAAAAAAAAAAGAGTTTGAAAACACTGATATAATCTGTTACATTATTCTAACCCCTGCCTTACTGACATATATAGTCCTTTCCTACAGTGCCCCCTGCTGGATACTTCTCTCAAAACAACCACAAGAACTCCACATCCAAATTATAAACTCATCTTAGAATTTTGGCACAGGAACTCGAGGTACAATAGAGTCCAGTAAATCTAACTCATGTGTTCGACGACATCGGTCCTATGTGATGCACACAAATTCAATTTGATTCAGAGTTCAAGTGATCGCTTTTTCTATTTTACCTCTAGACCTCACTGGGTGTAATCTGTTGTCTAGAACTGTAATATAACTAACTGTAATTTGATTTGGTTCAAGAGTGCTAATTAAGATAAAAGATCTGCATGTTTCACCAACCTGTGTTTTAATATTCTACATCAGATTAGGTGGGTTTTTTAAATTCATTTTATGATAGAAGGCTTTATTCCTTTTATTAAACTTTCTTTTATCAACAAATTCAAATTTATACCAAAATATATTTTTATAACAACAGAGCATGAGAAATTATGAATAACAAATATATATATTTTAACCAGAGCATTTGGTAAGCAGCACTTATTTATTCCTATTATGTGTGTTCATTTGAAGGTGTCAGAATGCATTTCTACGTATGTGTTGTTTCTGAGTAGTGCAAGTTCCCTAACAAATAATTTTAATTCTTATACGGCAGCAAGTTACCATGGAAACTATGACATGTGTGACACCATGTGATTTTGACTGTTGCATTCAGGAGAAAACACCTACTTTTTCAGCAACTGGTGATTATCTAAGTGCAGCAATGTGATTGGTTGTCTTTAATGCTGTTGTACATGTGGACCTATCTCTAACAGTCTCTCAGATATTTTCCAACATTTGTGTCCTGAGAGGCTATTATTCTTTTTTTTCTCTTTTTTTTTTAAAAAAAAGAAGGAATCCACTGATATACTGTAAGGTTTCTGTTAGTGTGGTAATTTATAGAAATTAATTGACAATAATGTTCTAGATCATTTTACGTTTGCTAATCACATACATCAAATAAATGTGTAGCAATGCCTATGAGAAAATGTTCAGTGCCTGTTAATGTGTGTCACTATGATGTTGATCAAAACTCGTAATGTAAGGCAGAGAGTATGCCTGCTGTCTCTGTTCAGGCCGTGAAAGTTTACAATCAAAAACTGCTGCAGAGAAACCATCTTCATTGTCATAGTTGTTGAAACTAAATTGTTCCCACAGGTACTACAGTAGTTATATGTAGTAGGACACCATAGCCTGCACTAGATACAAACACACACACACACACAGATGTCCTTAGCAAACCATTAGTACAAATTCTACCTTGACCCTAAAACCATCTAAAAATCTCCAAAATGCCATCAAATGTATTAATGTCATGAAACGTCTTCTCACAGAAATGTCCTAGTGTCTCACACTGCTTAACATCAAATATGGTGGACTTTAGTGTGTGTCACATTATACTGTCTTAGGAGCTGTACCAACATAGTAACTGCTCACTGACACACACACACACACACACACACACCAGTAACGACACACTTTTGATGATTTCCAACATAATAGTGTTTTTCTGGGATGAAATGATGTTTTCTCAGCCTCTGACGACACAGCTGATCCCTTCTTTATTTCTCTCATCCGTAAAGATTATGGCATGATGAATTATTCCCCCTTTTTTCTCCATTTCTCCCTCTCTTTGCCTATATCCTTTTTACCACACACACACACACGCGCACACACACACGCCTTTCCTCCATCCCTACCAACAGGGAGCCTCTTTCAAGCCAGTGGTTCCTTTTACTTGACTAATTAGCCTTGAAGTGCTGTTGCAGAGTGTCATATTTAGCAGAGCGACCTAGTAGCAGAGTGCAGACCGATATAGACTCGGCTGGCTGGTAGCTGAGACCCTGGGAAAAGGCAGCCTCTCCGTCTCCCTTAATTCACACACAGTGCTGAGGATTTCTCAGGAACAGAGCGATGAAAGTGAGAGGTGGTGTTGCCTCAAACTAGATGGAAGAGGAAGAGACACAGGGAGCTGCGACTAAAGCAAAAATGGCAGTCAGCTGCAGGAGCACATCCTCCTAAAGAACAAAACGTTTGACCAGTGTGCAGCAGCACGTTTTCCAACATACAAAGGCTGAAGGTAAGGTTTAATTCTGCCCTGCAGACACACATCATGTGATTATGTCTTCATTATGTGTCAATATCAGACACATTCATACGTAGTCAGGTGTGAGTTCAGTTAGGGATTGGCACAGAATGAATGCTTTCTGTATTTGTTGATATGCAATGGTTGTAAATTTACATGACTTTTTGCATGAATTTTCAATTTTTAACACTAATTTCATACAAACACATTCTGTTAAATGTATATATATATATATATAAACATATATATATTACACATACACATATGTAATATATATGCACATATAAGGCTTGTATATACTGTATACATATTTCTTAGATCATCAATCAGCATTGTATCATTTATAGTATAGTAGCATAGTTTAGTTTTTAAATATTTAATTTTAATTAATTTAATACTTCACTTTATCATGACAACATAGAGGGAGTATGCAGTTCTTTTCAATTAAAATGGCTTTGTTTTCATCCTCACTGAGCAAACAGCGCCCCTTTCCTGCCCTGTAGGTGGTGCTAAGCGCACATTTGAAGAGATTTGTTAACTCAAATGTTAGCAGTGTTAAGTGTCACTGCATTGTTATATGTTATATATATATATATATATATATAAATATATATATATATATATATGTATATATATATATACATATATATATATATATATATTTATATATATATATATATATATATATAAATATATATATATATATATATGTATATGTATATATATATATAGACATATATAGACATATATACTGTATGTGTGTGTGTATTTTTTATTACCTACCATGTTGCCTACCATGCGCAGGCAGTCTTCATGCCATTAAGCTAACCCTGCTAACAACTTATGCTTTATTTCTTCTTTGTGCTGAGTTTTGTGAGTTTCATAACTGTCTCTTTTGACGTTCACAGAACCAATTAGTTTCTGTGTCTTTTTGTAGAAATTGTTGAGGCTTCCTTAAGAAGCTAATGTTTTAATTTCAATTTAATGACTGAGGGTCGCCCCGGGTCGGGGGAATAGTTACAGCCACTCTTAGTTGACAGTTTTTAGGGCATGGACACAATCCAAGCTAATAAAGTATCATTCCTCACTCTGACCCATAAAATCCACTGGTTGTGTAAACGGCTGACAAGGCAGCAGAGATTCTGTCTAAGACATAAAGTGTGTGGATAAGTGATAACAGCTGTCAGGTAGATCAGGGAACGTGTTCAATATCTGTAATGGAAGTCGACCACTGCTGGAGTTAACAAAGTTTTACTGAAAAGTGCTGACGACTTCACTTCATTGCTGATTATATCACATGTGTGAACTTGACATTTTCAGTTAACTATGTGTAGACATCCCTTCAAAATAAGAAAACGAAAGATTTTAAAGCGAAACTACAGGGATTTTGCTTTCCAGTAGTCACTATGGTCTGGCTCTGATAACTCTACTGTGTTTTAGTAATTGAAGATTAGTATAGTTTCATGAACATTCCTTTTCATTCCTGATGTAATATTGTAATAAATATAAACTAAATATATAAAAATATTTTTCAAAAAGAAAAAATAATGTTATGCTCACAAAAAAGGTTAGGGTTAATATTGAAATATTTATATAACAAGTACAATATGTACTGTAAGCATAAGTATAATGTTACAGTTAATTGATAATTGATAACTCATATTGCACTTTGAAAAACAATGAATGTATTAATGTTTTAACATACATATTCTACACTATCAAATATAATAAAAAAAGTTTTGAGCTGTAGGCTAAATATGCTTTTTCAAGATTAATGTAATCTGAGAGAAACCCCACAGATGACCCCACAGATGATTGACAGTCAGCTGGCACAGCGCAGGAGGGTGATGGGAAACATTATGGGTGACCAAGCACAACAAAAGAGAAGCACATCCATCGTGCCCTGCTTCGTCTTAGTCGAGGTGAGTGTTGGACAAATCAACATGTTGATCATTAGGATTTTATGCATCTCTTCTGATCTAATGACCTTCACTCCTCCCCTTCGTCTCCTCTGGTTGACCACTGACCTCAGCTTCCTCATTCGTCCTAAAAATCTAGAAATCCAATTAGCCTGTTCTCACTGAATCAACTTGTCTTTTATTTATTTATTGCAAACCTGTGTTGATTGCCGTGCCAATTTTAAACTTGTCAAACAGATGTTTTGATTCGTCACTGTCCATTAGACTTTTCAAACCACTGCTGTTGGAGTTCATTGGGTCTGGTAAGATGAACTGATGATGTGGCTTCAGCTAAGATAGCTGACATTATATCCATTGAAGTCGCTGTAGTTTTGGACATGGCTGTCTGCAGTACTGTGTCCATTACATTGCCCTGTCAGTTGCAGGAATTTCCGACAGCAATCCTGAGTATGGGATCGATCACCACCCATGGCCACCTGTTAGAGTGTATGTAAGTTGGTGTCTGAGAAACTGGTCAGCATAACTAGATGAGCTAACACTGTGGCTAGAAGGACCCACAAAACAGGACTGTAAATACGGAGAAAATGATCATTTTTATATCCGATAACACGGAGAAACAAATTAAAATAAACAAGTCTTGGTGGAGCAAGACCTGGCAGTCGTACTGTCAGGTATGTCGTACTGTCAGGTATGCCAGTATACCTCTGCTTTGTACTTTGAAGTTCTATCCTTCACCTACTTCCTGCCCCTCCAATCTCCTTAATGGTCTTTGTTTTATTTCCCAGTGGCATCCTGAGCTCTGTTTTCTTTGATATACTTACTGTATGTGCAGATTTCCCCGTCCCCCTCTTCAGGCTCTTCCCTCCTGACTCATCCACTCATTTTTATTACTCTGCTCATTTATCTCCCATAAGTGAGAGACAGATGAGCAGACTGGGCTACAGTGGGTTGACAAGGTGGAAGTTCAGAATTCATTGATTTCTTTTGTAGGTCTTTATTGGACTTTTATTGTGGGGATAAGGGAAGCTGGACCCAAATGAGGTAGATAGTTTAATCAGGTTCACAACTTAATTTGAGTTAGGATTAGAATAGGGTTCAGATTAGAGAGAGGGTAAGGATTAAGATTTGGCATACATGCTGGCTATGGAACTCATTATGTCGACATAAAGTAGTCACAAAACACTATCTGTGGGAGATATTGGTATGATGATTGATAGTAAAAAAATCTTCTTCAAATTAAATGTTCAGTGCCAAATAGTTCCAGAGAAACAAGATAAAATGTTAATCAGCCTTATTAAATGGCAACAACAAAAAGCTGTTCGGTGCTCTGCCTCTGGGTTTTATTGTATTTCGCTGAGATGTTGTCAGCCTGAGCTCAGGCCAATGTTTTGTAAAATGTGCCTTTTGTGAGACGTGCTGAGTCTATGCACTGTGGAAATCAACTTCAACGCATGGTGTAGGCGTAACTGCCACGGGAGTTTACAGACACAATATCCAGGCAGGCAACACTACCTGTCTGCCATCTTTGCCTGGTTTCATATCCGACAGTGTCACTGCCAGCTGTACGGATGGGGAGAAGGGTTTGTAGCAGTTAGCTAAACAGACAGATAGGGTCTGAAAGTACGTCCACCGAACAATGTGGGCTGTCGGTGAGGGCGAGGCTACGACCAGAGGTTCAGGCCAGTGAGCAGCAGTTTGGTTTAATACCTTGAACAAGTACCACAGATACAAAGTTTAGCTTAGAGTAGAAATGTTCAGAGAAGGTCAGGCTGAAGCAATGTCTGGGTTTCACCTCGGTGATGTGACCGAAAAAAAGGTTTTGAAGTTAAAGTGACATTGAATTATTGTCACTGACAATAATGACAAACTTCATATGTATATCGGTATCGCTTGATATTGGAATTGGATATCAGGTTTTTGGACAATAACAGCATATTGATAGGGAGGTTGGTGTGGGCTTTTCAGAGTACTTTTCAGTTTTTGAGATATGTCCGACAAGTTGGTTATGGACCGAGTCTGAGAAAACGCTTATGGTGCTTTTGTGGTTGGTGGTCCTGCGGTCGTCTGTGTCTGCATGCATCTCTGTGTGTATAGGTATATTAAAAAAATGAAATGGATGTTTCAGGACGTCTCTCTCTCTCTCTCTCTCTCTCTCTCTCTCTCCCTCCCTCCCTCTCTCAGGCTTTCTCCTCTCTGTCCTGCTGTAGCGTTCTCTGTTTGCCTTCCTATCTCTTCTCTCTCTCTTTCTATCAGCTTTTCTCCCCATCTGTCTTTTTCTGCCACATCCCCCTTCCTGCCCCTCCCCCCTCTAGTCTCTTCCCCCACTATCTCTTTTTGCTCACTTGATTCAGTTCACACATTAAGGGCACATCTATTGTTTGTCCTGTGAGAGAAAACATTTTCTTCTTTTTTAATTCTTTTTTTTTTTTTTTTTTTAATCTTTGACCGTATATTCTGCAACATTCTGTGGCTCCATCCTTAAGGACTGGAACAATTATGTTTTATTTCCAGCTGGTCATCATGGCAGGGACTGTTCTGTTGGCGTACTACTTTGAATACACCGACACGTTCCCTGTGCACAACCAGGGCTTCTTCTGTTTTGACAAAACCTACTCCAAGCCATACCCAGGACCTGAGGACAACAGCAGGGCACCACCTGTCCTCGTCTACTCTCTGGTCACCGCCATCCCCACTGTGACGGTGAGTGTCTTCAACTTCTTACAACGGAAATAGGTTAACAGACAGGAGAGACACAGACATGCGTACACAGCTTAAATAAATCCCCATTACAACGACAGGTTTCAAACCCGAGACAGACGTATATTACAGCACATATAAACACAATCCTTATCCACACGTGGTGGTTATGGATTAGAAGAAGAGTGTTCATGTGTAGGTGTGCATCACCGTGCTCTCCCGCTCCGTCTTTGTGGATGTGATCACTGGTATAACCATGGCAACGTGGACTATATTTGTCCTCCTCAGAGCAGTTCACGGCAGATATATTGTACAGGGAATGTGTTCTTCTTCTACAACTGCATACTCATTACTAGTATTATCTTCTACCACGTATTGAATATTAATGCTTTTTAATAATTAATCATCTGCAGAGAATTATGATTTGTAGGTCACTCCTGGTAGAGTGCGGAACATATTTATTTATTATTGATTTATGTCATTAAAAAAAATCAATAATTCCTACTGGTGTTAAAGAGACGGGAACGCACTATATTTCCAAAGCACCTCTGAACTTTACTGTCTGTGAACAGGAGGTCGTCAGGATGTGATTAAAAAGGCACAGTGTCTCTATCGCCTCCTGCAGGGTTTGTCTCTTTGATGTTCTACTAATTAGTAGCAAAACAACATGGACGCCTCTGATCCACACGTCAGGGTTATTGACAGTTCAGTTCACTTTCAAACTACAAACGTACACTCTTGAATAGAAATACTCACGTTAGAGTAATTAAGCAGCCACTGAGAGGCAGATCACAGTCTGTACCAAGAGCCAGAACTGGAACGTCATTGAGTTTGAGTTTGGTTCAGGAAGGAAGACTTTGATTGGTCAGATGGAGGGTGACGCTGACTGGGTTTCCTGTGGCCGTGGTAGTGTGCAGGTGACAGGGTGAGAAAAATATAAAACACCACTTTCCCTATTTCATTTAATTTGTTACCCAGTTTAGACTTCTTGATGTCTTTAATTGTCTTCTAGTCAGTTTTATTTGCACAGGCCAAATTCATCTCCGTGTCTCCATGGACACGTTAGAATTACAAACAGTAAAGCTTTCCTCCTAAAGACCTATAAAATAAAAATGGAGGAATGTATATATTGAAATGTATTTGAATTTCATTTTTTATAGAATATACGACCTCTACAGTCGTTGAGTGACTGTGTTTGAAGTTCACGTTGTCACCTGTACACCTGTCTCATTATTCCTCCTCTGTCTTCTGTCTTTGGTCCTCACCCTCATCTATTACAGAAACATTTGTCACTTGACTGTTCATCTGGCAGCTTTTTTGGAACCAGCACTAATTTCTACAGATGAACTTGGTTTTCTCTTCTTCTCTGTCCCAGATTCTCATCGGGGAAGTAGCCAGTATCTTCGTGAAGACAGAGGAAGATCAGGAGAAGACGATAGTCACCGCTGACTGCTGTTATTTCAACCCTTTACTACGTAGGATCGTCCGTTTCCTGGGTCAGTTGTTGGCTTTGATTTGGATGTCATTTTAAGTTTTGTCACCTGTAGGCATTTCCTCTTCCTCCTTCCTGTTTTTTATTGTGTTTCCTACCTCTTGTGTCTGAATGCAGGTCTGTCCTGCCTTAATGTTGTTTTGTGGCAGTGACGTTGGTCACCCCTTTATATAATGTTGGCTCGTCTCTGTCAAAATTTTCCAAGATTTCAGGCCTGCCCTTACCAGAGGCTTAGATTGTTAAATGCTGCAGAGACTGACCCAGCTCTTCAGCACACAGAATCCAGTAGAGCTACTGCTGCTTCCTGTCACCTGTTAATACAGTCCGTACACTCCCTCCTTTTCTTAAACTATTTTTCTCCCTCACACAGGTGTCTATTCGTTTGGCCTGTTCACCACTACTATCTTTGCCAATGCCGGTCAAGTTGTGACAGGAAATCAGACGCCTCATTTCCTGACCGCCTGTAAGCCAAACTATACAGCTCTGGGTTGCCAGTCTCCACTGCAGTACATCTCAGAGCATCGCGCCTGTACAGGAAACCCGTACTTGATAGTGACGGCACGGAAATCTTTCCCCTCCAAGGATGCAGCTCTCAGTTTTTATTCAGCCGTTTATACAGTGGTAAGGCAGTAAAAGTGAGACACAACAGAGTAATGTACATGCCTGTGTGTATTAAGGACTGTCATGGGATTCACACAACTATTTCAATACCAAATGTGTACAGGAGGTACTCGGTGTACGGCGTTCCATCGTTCCGGTGTACATCCACAAACACACTATACGCACAGGACGTCTTTGTTTACATTTGTCAGTTGTACACCAAACACTAAATTGTGTTTCAGGGCTGTAATCCCCCAGTCAACTGGTCCATTTATTGGTTGATGCGTTCTGGCTCGAGCACAATTCTGATTGGTTGATTTTTTGACGCATTAATT